TGTTGAGCAACCCTCCACAATGAGCAGCTGATGAGGTCACAAGTAAGCAAGAAGCCCTCTTCCCCCCAAGGGGAAAGGTCAGTTAGTTCAACAGACTTCATGTTTGTAATAGGGAGATCCTTAATCAGTAACAAAGGTCCTCTTTCCCCCTCCCTTCCAAGATGCTAGCAAATCTTTCTTTCTTTTCTACTTTATCTCATTTTTGTTGTCTATTTCTCTCTTTAGTACTGACTCATTTATCTTAGGTTTCATTATTTTACAATTTTGCTTCTCTTACTTGATCTTCCTGCTAATGTTTCTGTAATTTCTCTTTGCTAGACACCAGTTAAAAGCCTGTCTAAAAGATACATTTAGGTTGGGCAGTGGTGGTGCACATCTTTGATCCCAGCTCTAGGGAGACAGAGGCAGGTGGATCTCTTGAGTTCAAGGCCAACCTGGTCTACAGAGTGAGTTCCAGGACAGCCTCCAAAGCAATACAGAGAAACCCTGTCTCGTAAAACCACAAAAAAAAAAAAAAAGAAAGAAAGAAAGAAAAAAAGAAAAGCAATAACAAGAAAAAGATACATTTAGATCAGGAATTTTTGGTACAGTTATGGGAGCGACAAATTTACAAAAAATGGAACTAAATATAAAATTAATTCTGATTAGTGAGAACAATAAAAACAAGGACAAATGATGGATATTTAAAAATTGAATTTCTTACTTTGAAGTCCATGTAGGCTAAATATAATATTGAAGTAAAAAATGGACAGGAGTTGGGGTGGGTGAGATCTTGGTTTTGTCTCTAGCATTGCTGGAGTTGTTTCTCTGGAGTCAAAGTAATATATATATATATATATATATATATATATATATATATATATATATATAGAGAGAGAGAGAGAGAGAGAGAGAGAGAGACAGACAGAGACAGAGACAGAGACAGAGACAGAGACAGAGACAGACAGATTCTCATTATGTTGCCCAGGTCAGCACTGAACTCCTGGATTCAAGTGACTTTTTTGTATCAGCTTTTTGAGCAGCTGGGATTACAGGTTTGTACCTCTACAGCCCACCTGTCTTGGCATAGTCACTGAATTCCACAAAGTTCTCTTCAAGAGCAAGACTTTTAGAGATATTTAACCAAATAGTATCACTCCTAATGATATTACATGCTAACATACCAGGGTAAATTAATAAGCAAATCATTTCCACAGTCAATACTGAGAAAGACTACAACCAACCATGAAATAAAGGAAGTAACAAACAGAAGGAAAATCTCCTAACTTCTTCTAAGTTCTCAATTCTGGCCTCAGGAAAAAATTTAAATGTAAACCCACATACTTTTTCTTGGGTCAACCATTTTTCCAGTACAAGAAGCCAGAGCCAGGCTAATCTCTGAGGGGTGATATCTGGCCCGCATCTGAAAAAGAAAAGAAAGAATTAGTAAAGGAGGGGTTTCAAGTAACCCTTTCTCTTTCGTAGTTTGAGAGTTATATTTCAGTTTTCAGTTCAGTCCATTTTAAATCTGAACAGGCAAGTCCTTAAGAGAAATTCTCAATTGCAAATAACACTTCAACAAAACAAACACATAACTTCTAGCTTCCACTCATGCCTGTACCACCTTATCAAATTGTATTTTATCTTCTGAGCTGGAGTGTTGTTAGGCCGGAACTCCAGGACTCAGGTGATCCTCCGCTATTTCAGCCTCCAGAGTGTCTGGAGCTACAAACATAGCCTCACCATACCTGGCTAAGTCTTACTTTTAGAAATACTTGTGCAGAGAAAGTCATAGTCCATTTGAAATATGTGTATACATACATACATGCATACATACATACACTCACACATTATATGCACACATATTCTCTGTTACTCACTGTTTTTGAGACAGGGTCTCATACTGTATACTTCAGCCTGGTCTTGAACTTAGAGCAATCTTCCTGCCTCAGTTGAGAAGCATGGGTTGAACTACCATACCCAGCCCCTAAGTGTACTTTTGAATACCAAAAATGAACAAAATACAAAAGAATAAAGGGAGTTCATAGAAATTCATTTTTAACTATATAGTTATTCATAAACCTTACTTTGAAGTCAGTAATTTGAGCAGTAATAGCCTAGAACCCAAATTTAAGGGGAAAAAAATAACAGAAGAGCAATTTGCCTCTCTGGTCCTTATGTGCTAATCCAAATCCATCCTACAACACCAGTTCAGAACTTAAAGATCTGGGATGGAGAACTGTAGTTACCAAGAGGCAAGAAGGGGTCGTAGTGTAAACATATAGTATAATAGCACGGAGTGAGAGAATTCATGTGTAGCGATACAGTACTTCTGTCTTTATTACAGCGGGGTTACATCAACCCCTGTGTGGGTAAAACTGCCTAGAATTACCAGTAAAAAGCAAATATAGAGTTAAAAATGGTGAAAATCAAGATCTTTACGATAATTAATGTACTAAGGTAAATTTCCTGGTTTTGATGTTTTACTATAGCTCGATGAGATGTTACATCTGGTGGAGCTGGAAAAAGGGGTACCCTTTATTATTTTTTGACTTCTTGTGGTTCTACGATTATTTTAAAATTCAAAGCTTTAAGTTAATGCACTTTCAGTCCTTTGTTAAAGCAACAGCATCATCAATTTTTTTTTTTTTTTTTTTTTTTTTTTGGTTTTTAAAGGCAGGGTTTCTCTGTGACTTGGGAGGCTGCCCTGGAACTAGCTCTTGTAGACCAGGGTGGTCTCAAACTCACAGAGATCCTCCTGCCTCTGCCTCCTGAGTGACATCATCAATCTTACAAGCAAGGGGAGAGGGCAGGTTTGTCTTTTGGGACAAAATTATCATCTATAGATAATAAACAAGGAATGATATCAGGAACCTTTTGGTAGCCAGGCTTAAACTTAGCTCCAGAGAGTATACTAAATGTAAAATATATTCCACAGATAAAACACCAGAACATTGAAATGTGCTCTACTTCTGCTACTCTGTTTTTCAGGGTTTCTCTGTGTAGCTTTGGAGTCTGTCTTGGAACTCGTTCTGTAGACTCACAGAGATTCACTTGTTTCTGCCTCCCGAGTGCTAGGATTAAAGGCGTGTGCCACCATCGCCCAGCTTCTGCAAGTTTTTTTAAGCAAGTAGTTGATTGGGGGCATAAAGACCAGAGTCCAAGTATTGGACCATGTGCCTTCCTCTTGGAGATCCTGGTAAGAAGGGAGATCACTTACCTTAGCAGAACCGGACACTGCACCAGCGACTGTAGTATGTCTTCCACCTTTTTTGGGATATCCCCTTGTCCCTTGTGTAGCTGAGGTACACATGCCTGTGCCAACTCCCAGTCGCCCCTCCGCAGGCACTCACAGAAAAATTCAAAAAGCTGCTCCTCGGTAGCGGTTTCCTCTTTTCCAAATGGGTAACTCATTTTCCCAGCACAGAGTGCAGAGAGTCGTTATGCGGAATGCATTCTCAATTTTCTCGTTCGAGGGGTACCTCCTAGAAACAACATACCAGCTAAGAAACGAAACTGTTTAGATAAACCACCAGCTGCTAGCTCGAAAGGAAAAGGCAGAACTTACTTTTCTAATTATCGTTTTGGGTTTAACTCGACCTGTTACTGTCTCCGTTTGAGAACCGTCTAAGGGGTGGATCCCATCACCTAATGCACACCCCATATATAATAATCTTAGAATTTTTGTTAGCTTGGGACGCAGACACATACATTTACTTCCGCATTCGCTCCTGAACATTTTGTCAGTCGGATTACAAATCTCTAGGTGGGTGCCTTGGTGAGAATAAGTACTCCTTTGGGGTGAGCCTTGTGTTAAGGTAGAGGATTAAAGATCAGGAGATCAATCTGGGACCGAACAGGAGAGCCTGGAGGCTGGGGGGCAGGGATGCTCCCCCTAGCGGGGTCGCGGACAGCACCCTTGCTGTCTTCCCTGCTATTTACACTCACCTGCTCCGGGAGTCAAATACATTTTAGCTTCCAGAGCAGCCATGTTTGAGCCCAGTCAGGTGACAGATTCCATTGCGAAGAGTGGTGGAAGGGGCTGGGATGACGAACGAGAGCGCCACTCCTATTGGCTCACGAGAAGGAAGATGCAAATCAAGTACCAGATTTATTTGAGTCACGTGGCAGCGCCTGATCGCTAGGGAGAAGCTACGGAAGAGTAAATCCGCTAGCTACCGGGCTGAGGACCCTCCCTAATTATGATTGCTCCTCCTTGCAACACCTTCAGTTATGCATTTCGGGGGAGTTGACGCCAGGAATATCTGCTGTGTTCCACAGCCCCACTCCCGTCACTGTCTCATTGCTAACCAATGACAGATGCTGGAGATGTCCACAGGAGTCCCTGATCCTCCTGCATCATTATTCTATCTACTTGGGATATATATCATACTTATATATTATAATTACATATAAAGCAGAAGACCGAGGTGGACACAGGAGTTGCTCAATCGAAAGCAAAGGCTTTTTCACAAATTCAGCAATCAAACCAGTTCTTAAAAGTTTGCTAGTTTTTCTTGCCGCAGCTGCTTCACTATTAAACGAACTTGATTTCCTTTATTTCTTTTTCAACTACTCTCAGTGTTGTTTTCCCAATACATCTTTTAGTTTGAGAAACTTCAGTTAGCTTCATTTTCACCATCCAAGTGTGGTGAAAAGTGTAAAGCAAAACAAACACTAAACTCTTTTTCCAAAACTGTAATAGGCAGATAGCCCACAGTTTCTTCAATCCTCAGCCCTTAGAAGACGCTTCTCTGACCCAGGAAGTAAGTAAAAATGCGATTCAGTAAAGAAATGAATTTCCAGGTAAGGTTTTTCTTGCTTCACACTTATCTTGAGAGGTTCCTTCCCTCGATTTTGATAATTACCACAACGGAGAAATTTAATAGGATTAATCTACTAGGCTGAAAGTATGAACTACAATTCCCAGAATGCAGCGGGGCCAACCCAAGCTTTTTGCCTACTTCTGATTGGATAAATCGCTAGAGTACCGGCCAACCAGCACTCTAGTTGTTGCTGTGCTCGCTTTTCGCGGGTAATTGTGTGAGGGTGGGGGAAAGTTTGAAAGTTCGGTGCTGCTGACCTGGTACTGGAGTTTTCTGAGGGGGGGCAGTTATGGGGAAGCGGGTGTGCTTATCTCGTAGCTTCTCTCCGGGCCTGTGGATGTTGATACCGGGGTGGCGGAGAATCCTGGGTGCCAGTCACGCCCTCTGCTTCCCGTGGGGCTCGTCTCTGGAACCCCGGCTTGAGTCCTGGGGCTTCTGACTTTTTCTGGGGCGGGAGATGCTTGGAAGCTGTGCTGTTTATTAGAGCGCTCTGCATGAGGTTTTTCTACCCCCTTGATGCCTCTCCCTCCGCTTCTGAGCAATTAGGGATCTGGACACTTTTAGGGACTGTCATACTTGTGTTGAAGAGCGTGGAATCTGCAGTCAGATCTCTGGATTCGAATGCGGGTTCCAACCTTGGCTAGTTTGCACGTTTCTCAGCTTAGTGTTTCAGAGTAGTCTTATGTGTAAAACGAAGTAAAAACATTCGAAGCATTTAAAACTAGTATCTGGAGCGTATTAAAAGGCCCAGTAAATAAATGAATCCCCCAAACCCTACAAAACAGCTTTTTTTTTTTGTTACTTCACTATTTTTTATTGAGTGCCTAACATAAGCTGATCTGTGTTGCCATCTCCTCTGTCTCCAAGACAGACGGACAGACAGACAGACACACACGCACACGCACACACACACACACCAGTTAGAAAGAAAGGCATAAGTTATAAAAGCGCACAGATACGATTAAGGAAGATGTAAGTAAGTGGAAAGGGAAGGGCTTTGTGTGTGGAAATGGAAGGCATGTGCATGAATAACCTCACCTAACTTTCTGGATGGTCATGTTAGAAGAATCACATGTTTGTTTATGATGGTTACCCACCTTGAGCATTATGCACCAGCTCTGGAGTGGAAACTAGAATCGTCCTTATTTTATACACGAGGAAAGCAGTGCTCTGGGAAATGAAGTAACTTTGCCAGGAAGGCAAATCTGATAGAGGCTTGCAATCTGATGTTTGAGTGAGAGCTAAGTAAGGGACACCTTGTTCAAAAAAAATGTTTTTTTTTTTTTAAATTGTGACCCTAAAAGTTTGGAAGTTGTGTGATCTGATGGTCCCACAAAACGTTTTAAGCAATGAAACTGACTTTTAAGGAAGCTACTTCTAGTAGGATTGTGATGTTCAGCCTATGTTTTTTCTTTCAGGCCAATTGGAGACTTCTCCCTGTCTGCTCCTGCAGCAACTACAACCTTGCAAGCAGACTCAGCTTATACCTGCATAGTTGTAGTTATTTGAGTGTATCTCTCTCCATCTTTCAGCTGTAAGTATGAAAAAGAGAGGAAATGAGTTTAAAGGGGTTTATACCCTTGAGCTCAGCAGAGTATATGCTTAAGAAATATTGGTGAAAGAAACAAATGGAGAATATTATATATGGAGAATTTATATTATGTTATATTTGGGAGAGTAGGGAAGTAACTCGAAACTATAAGCAGTAGTGAGGGCAAGTGAGGGGTGTGGTACTATTAGATTAGAGTAGTTATTGCTAAGGTTTTTGCAATTTTGTGTTATAGGTGTTTTTTGTTTTTATTTGATGGCTTGAACTTACTCATTAAGTGATGTTATTGGCTAGAACTACCTTGTCTGAAATGCAGTAGGTAATAGAATAGCAGATAAATGTTTCTTGGTAAATTTTCTTTTCTTTTTGGTTTTTGGAGACAGGGTTTCTCTGTAACTTTGCAGCCTGTTCTAGAACTCGCTGTGTAGACCAGGCTGGCTTCAAACTCACAGAGATCCACCTGCCTCTGCGCCCCCCAGTTCTGGGATTAAAGACATGCACCACCACTGCCTGGCCTGGTAAATTTTCTCTTAAGGAAACAAATCAGCCTAACATATTCCCATTGACTGAAATAAAGGGAATGTGTTTTGTTTTTGTGGGGAGAGAGGGAAGTAGGAGATGGGGGATGCAGGGAGAGAGAAAGGAGGGAATTTAATGTAATGTAGATAATTTAAGTGTTAAACAGTATTGGGCTAGTGCTGGTAGTAGATATCTTAATTCTTGTGTATAGATTTGTTCTTTGATGTATAATTGTTGTTATTACTTCATTCTATGAAATGATGAGTTCCTATTCAGATGATACTTTGCCATATCAATGAGATACACAGCCTCTTCTTTCCATGCATTAATATAGAGATTGCAACAGTTCTAGCTCCCCAAAGACAAGTATTTCATGAGTGTCACTTAGCAAGGTACAAGAAGAACAGAATTTAATTCTAAATGGGATAGTAAACAGCTAGTATAACAAAGAATACTTTCATTGCTAACACTTATAATAGTAAAGTCTCATTTGATTGTGATTAGCTCTGACTTAGAAAAAGCAAGGGGTAAATAAGGTTTGTGGTCCTACAACAGCAGTAGTTAAGAGGACAGGTCTCAGTGTCAAACTGCCTTGACGGAATTCTGAATCTGCTAGTGATTTTTTTCTCATAACAGTAGGATAGCTGACATTTCAGAGTACATTTCTTATATGTAAAAAGAAAATCTACTTTCATTATACTCTATTGCAAATATTGTATATAGCTTTGTAGCATGGTTGGTATGTAGCAATGTCTATTTATTCTTGTTACAGTTCAATGCTGAATTGCTATTTGAAAATGCACCTAGATTTCATAACCAAATGAAATTTGTAAATGATGATCAGTATTTTAGGATAGTTATAAGTGATGGCTAGTCTTGGTAGTCAGCTTGACACTTGGCATTCCTGAGAAGAGGGAACCTCAGTTGAGGAATTGCCTCCATCAGATGGGCCTGTGGGCATTATCTGTGGGACAATGATTGTTAATTGATGGAGGAGGGCTCAACTCACTTGTGAGAGGTCCTACTCCTGAGCTAGAGTGCCTGGTCAGCCAGCAGGGGAATCAAGCCAGTAAGCAGCTTTCCTCTGTGGTCTCAGCTTCTGTTTCTGTTTCAAGTTCTTACCTTGAGTTCCTGCCATGGCTTCCCTTAACAATGGAATATAATTTGTAACCAAATTATATTCCTCCCAAATTGCTTTTGGTCAGTCTTTTATCACAGCAACAAAAGGCAAACTAGACTACAATGTAAATAGTAAGTAGTGTCAAAGCATTGTATGGATGCATTTTCTGAGGTTGCCTGGTCAATAAGCCAGTGTCTCTCCTACTTTTATTAGTAATTTTTCCATGTTTTCTTTTGTACATAGTATATTTAGTATAGTCTGTCCACTATCATTTTTATTACTTTCTGATTTTTTTTTTAGATTCTTCTTTGGGAGATCTGGAAACATGAGCAACAAGAAACTAAGACGAGTGGGTTTCTCACAAGAGCTGTGTGACCGTTTGAGCAGACATCAGATCGTTAATTGTCAGGTGAAAATTTATGTACTTTTAGATAAATTTTATGTTCAAAGTAATTTTAGGTTTACCTTAATAGCTGTTAAATGTGGGTTATGAAGATTTAGGGTTGTAGGGGCTGAGGGAAATGACAGAGTCAGAAGTCTCATGCAAACATGAGAACCTAAGCTGGAATCCCCAACACTGTCATAAAAAGCCTGGCCTGGCAGTGCACATCTGAACTCCCAGCTCCAGGGAGGGAGAGACAACAGGATCCCTGGGGCTTGCCAAGTAGCCAATCTAGCCACATTGTGACCTCCAAGTCTGTCTCAGAGGTCAGATCTTAAAGAGTGACTAAAGGAGACATCCAATATAAACTTCTCACCTCCACATGCCTAGACAAAAATAAAAATTAAAACTTAGATGTAAAAAATAAGTTAAATAATGGTGCTTCCTGTAAATAAATTGTTTAGGTTGCATTTGCAGCTGGAATTTTATTTATTGAAGTCCAATATTTTTGTATGATGAGAATGGTCATGGCATAAGGAAGTATGTCTGTGCCATTTATTTGTGGTTCCTAAGAAGTTTAATTTTTTTTATTATTACTTGAGAAAAATGACTTAAATGAGATTATAGTGAGGATGATTTGACCTAGGAGAGACATTAATAATTTAGGATTATTATTATGATTTACTAATGTAAATTAGTATTGACCCAGTCCAGCAGTAAATTTTTAGTACTGGCTTGATAAATGTATACGACAGAAGTTGCTTTTATTTTTTTCTTTTTCAGATTCTGCATCTTTAAGTACCATAATGAAGAAAATCCCTCTTAGGAGGATAGATTAGGGCTAAAGCTTTATGTTAGGATTTTTGTCTTTAATGAACATATAATTTTGGGGATATCTTTATTTATTCTATTAATACATTTCATAATCATGTTTATGCTTTAATTTTTTTTTGAGACAAGGTTCTCTGTAGCTTTGGAGACTGTCCTGGATCTCACTCTGTAGACTATGCTGGCCTCAAACTCACAGAAACCTACCTGCCTCTGCCTCCCAAGTGCTGGGATTAAAGGTGTATGCCACCAATGCCAGCTTTAAATGGCTTAAAAAGTATGAATTAAACATTTTACTCTGTATTCTGAATTAAGCAGTAAACATCCCATGCTCTCATTTGATAAATACTTTGCTCTGAGTTAACTTTTAGCCTAGAAAACACTTTTTAACCTGATTCTTTTTGGCCATGTATTTGGACCCAAACTCAAATGCAGTGCTCATAAAAACTTGAACTGGGTGGTTCTGTTTGTGGCGTTGCTTGGTGTATCTTCTGGGACATGCCAGGTGTACTGTAATAGAGTATAAGACTGCCTCGCATCTCGGGGTTAAGGCATGTGTAGGGTGTAGCTCAGTATATTCATTACAGTAGAATGTAAGAAGCATAAATCTTATATCTGCAGTAAATTTAACTTTTGTCTAGAGATGAACAGTAATAACTGAAAGTTTCTTTTTGTTTTATATTTTCTTACCTTTTAAATTAAAAAAGCCCATGATGAAAATTTCTTTTTAATTCCTATATCTTTGTTACATATATATGTTAAATATTTATTTTTACTCTTTTTCTTTTAGGACTTTTTAGGTCTATCCCCACTGGAACTTATGAAAGTGACTGGCCTGAGTTATGGAGGTGTCCATGAGCTTCTGTATATGGTCAGCAGGGCCTGTGCCCCACAGATGCAAACAGTACGTATAGCTTAACAAGGGGCATTGAGGTCAGGACAGCTCCCCAGTGTGAATAGGGGAGACAGGCAAAGACATTAAGGATGGGGTGGGGCAGGGAAACATCTGACCATTGGGATGGCAGATGCACAGGCTCTGTGCAAAGGATGCTTGCTCAGTGATGAGCTTAGGCTGTGCCAGTGGAACACAGTGAAGAAGAGAGTTGAGAAGATGCAGCCAGAGAGAGAAGCAGGAGGCAGAATGGGGTCTTGCAGACCATGCTAAGGATTTTGGACTTTATTCTAAAAGTAGTAAATCATAAAAGGGGACAGTTGGTGCATTTGAAGAAGATAGGTCTTGAATGCACATTGAAAACAAGCAAGAAAATATTCAGAGTCTACTGAAATACCTGTTACTGTGTTCTGGAAATAGTAACGAGTTATCAGTGTGATATTGTAGCAGAGGCTGGAGTACTGATCCCTGTGAGAACAACTAAAGGGAGAGAATTATTAGGAAAAAGGCTTAGTCTCACTGAAGAGAGACTTAAAATGAAAGATTAAAACCGAAAATAAAGAAAAGAAAGAAGGAAAGTGATGGCCCCTGGTGCTTAGTCCTCCAGTATAACACCATTTCACCTCTTCCTGGTTGCCACCACTCATGGCAACTTAGATTCAGCATAATCACAGGTGAAGTGTCTGCATGCCATGCAGACGCTTTGCATGTCTGATTGTATAATGGCTAAAATTGAGAAGCTGGGATTGGTATATCAAGTGGCTCTAAAGGTCACAGAGGATCCACAGTTTGGGCAGTTGCCTTGTCCACAAAAGAACCTTTGTAGGTGGCGGTTTAGTATAGAGTAACTTGGTCCAGGTGTTTCACTATGGCCATGGCTGCCGTGGCCTTAAGTGATGAATCTGGTGGCTCCTTGCAGTGCTTGTCATTATGTTAGATGAGTATAGAGCCACTTGATTTAATTCTTGCCAGGTCAAGCCCCTCTGCTTTCCTAGACTGTTTCTCTGTTGCCAGTTTGTGCAGCTTGCTGGAGCTCTTTTGTTCTGTTATAAAACAAGAGTGTGCTTAAATTCATTTACTTTCTGATGGTGTTTTGAAAATAAAAAAAATTGTCATGTTAAAATTTGTTGTGCAGCATTCCTGAGTACTCTGTTTTTATCCCCACTCTGTTACTCTTCCAGAACTACCATTTTCATCCTTTGAAATGGTTGTAGTAGCTTCCTGACATGTGTCTTAGCTTCCAGTGTTATCCATCTTTAAGCTATTCTTCTAAGCCAGCGGTTCTCAACCTTCCTAATGACGTGACCCTTTAATACAGTTACTCATGTTGTAGGGACCCCCAACCACAAAATTATTTTGTTGATCCTTCATAACTGTAATTTTGCTACTTTATGAGTTGTACTGTAAATATCTGTGTTTCCTGATGATGTTAGAGGGTTGTGACACACAAGTTGAGAACCTCTGTTCTAAGCCAACCTCAGCATCTCCTCAAAATGGTAATTTGTGGGGTTGGAGAGATGACTCAGCAATTAAGGACACTGGTTGCTCTTCCAGAGGACCCAGGTTTAATTCCTAGTATCCTCATGGCAGCTCACACCATGACTACAGTTCCGGAGGATCCAATGCCTTCTTCTGGCACACAGACAGGCACGCAGACAAAACACCCATATACACAAAACAAAAATTAAACACAAATATGTTAATTTGTTATATTTACCACAATGGGGGGATTTAAAGAAGAGCAAGTTGCCTCACAGTCTGGCTCAGAGTATCTAGGGGAGAGTCCCTTCTTGACTCTTCCAGTTGCTGAAGAATGTGGGCATTCCTGGTCTTGTGGCCACTCCCCCTTTGCTCTGTCTTCACATCATTGTCTTCTGTTGAAGCTGCCTTTGCCTGTCTTAGGAGAATACTTTTGTTGGCATTTGTGGTCCACACACATAATCCAGGATTACCTCCTCATCACAAGGCCTTTGAGTTATTCACATCTGCAGAGACCTCTCTCCAAATACAGTAACATTCACAGACATGCCCTAGGGATTTGGTGTGCATATCTTTTAGGGGCCGTTTCTCATCCATATCTCCAGCTTCCTTCAAACTGCTTCATGAATCAACCTGAGTTTGAAATGATCACATGGCCATGGTGCCTCTGCCCCAGAGCTCCTGGTGTGAGGCTCCTGCTTGCTCCTCCAGCCTTGTCACACGCTGCACTGCTGTCACAGCCTATTCTTCAGCCATCCTAAGTGAACTCTGTTTTATTACTTGTGGTCTGCTTCTTCTCCACTTCTTGGTCTTTCTGTGTGCACCCTCACCTCTTTGGTAGGAATGTTCACATTCCTTTTGCTTATCCAACAATGGAATCAGACGCCTAGGTCTTCGGTGAAGCCCTCTAGATCACCATGTCTGATTAGCTTGTCTCTGTCTCTTGTTAACAACATTATAGTCACCCAGTGTTTGAATGCCATACTCCTTGTTTTGCAATAAGCCTGTGAGCATGGTAGCTGTTTGTTACAGTCCATCCTTATAATTTAGCATGGTCGTCGGCACTAGGTAAATATTTACTAGTCAAATGAATGATAGAGGAAAGAAGGCTGGATTGTTTCAGAGTGGGTTTGCAACAGTTTTATGGAACTTAATGATTTTTCTTGTTCAGGCTTATGAGTTAAAGATGCGGAGGTCTAATGAACAATCCCCAGCATTCCTGTCTACTACCCTTTCTGCTTTGGACGAAGCCCTGCATGGTGGTGTGGCTTGTGGATCTCTCACAGAGGTAGGAAAACCTATACCTTCTTCTATAAACATCAGAGCTAGGAGAAATGTTTAGTTAAAAAAACAACAACAGCATAAATTACCTCATGAAAACAAATATGAATTAAGTCCTGAGTACTTTGCTGGTGTAATCCTCTAGCTAGTATCAATATAGTTGCTTTATAAATGGAGGCGTTAAACAAATCCTTGCTGACTTACTAGATGTGTCCCGGTTTTTGTTCCTTTTAATTGCTTTAGAAAGTGATGTGTATTGGGGTCTGAGGAGGTGTTTGAGTGGGCAGAGTTCTATGTTTGCCTTACAGTCACGAGGGCCTGAGTCTAGATCAACAGCAACCATGTAGAAGCCAGGTGCAGTGGTGTGTATCTGTAATGCCAGCAAGGTGGAGAGGAGCTGAGTGTCCCAAACCAGAGGAGCTGAGTGTCTCAAACCACAAGATGCAGAGGAGTAGAGGAAGACGTCAAGTGTTGATCTGAAGCCTCAATCACATGCTCACACACCTGCATATGTACACACATGCATGAGTACGCACATATTCATGAGACAACAATTATGGAACAGTATTAGGAAGCCATATGAGTGGATTAAAAAAAGGATCACTACTTAATAGATTTCCAGTACAAGTCAATTTTGATAATATTTGAGCAAATAATATATTAAACTATAGTGAGCTATTTTTGTTTCCTGCTATTGATAGCATTTGGTTCTAGGAAGCAATAACATACTGTATTATATTATGTTGTTGCATAATGAATTATCCTCAGCTTAAGTGGCTGAAACAACAATGCACACTGACTTCACCGTGTCTTTGGGAGTGTCTGAGCTTAGTGAAGTTGGCAGTGCCTGCAGCCAGCCATAGCTCAAGATGCACAGTGGAGCTGACTCCTTGGGGCTCACTCACTGGCAGGCTGGTGCTGGCTTTTTGTTTTTGTTTTGTTTTTTGGCAATTCTCCCCTAAGTGGGGTCTTCACAGTTTTCCTGTATCTTCTCAGGACATGCTGGCTGACTTCACTCAGGGGGGGTAGTCCAAAAGACACAAAGAGGGAAGTGGTAGTGTCCTTGGTGATTACTCCACTACTTATGATGGGCTCTTTTCATTGTGAGGGAGCTGTAATCCCAGCTCAGGGTCAGGGAAAGGAAATTTAGGCTCTGCCTTTTGAATGAAGTTTGGAGAAGCTGAGGGCATGTCAGGAGCACCGAGGCTCTTTCCTTGAAAACTGGCTTGGTGTGTATGGGTGTGGCTGCCTTGGTGTGTGTGGGTGTGGCTGCACCTGTAGACTGCTTATTAGTAAATCCTGAGAATTTCTTGCCTGAAAATTTTAGAAGCAGATTTCTAAGAGCAGACACATTGTATGTGACTGTGTGTGTGTGTGTGTGTGTGTGTCTGTGTGTGTTCCTGGGTATCAAACCCAGGTCTCAAGCATATTCAGTGTCTGGCTCACTGAGCTACATCCCCCAGCCCCGGTGTTTTCTTATAGTTCTCATAATCATAATTTAACTGTAATTTTTTCTTAAAGATAGGAATCCTGTTTTAGGGAACATTTTATTTCCTAAATCCCTAGAGAGATTTAAAGACTGGTGTGTCTGGTAGATGCCTATTAAATAAATAGTTGATGACTGAATAAGTTAGTTGAAGGGCTTGTTGTTGTCATATATTGCCACCAGATGGTGCCAGAATTATACTTTACACACAGTCATTTTGAGGTGAGGCTGGACCAGGTCAGTTTGGAGTTATAAATTTATTTATACAGAAAAATGAATCTAATTAATTAGTGCATGTGTTTCATGTTTGAGTTTTATAGTGATTTTCGTCTACCTTGTCACTTTCACTTTGCATATCAATTCTGTTTCAACCCAAGTGAAGTTACTTGCCTTTGGGGTGTTTTTATGATCCATCTAGCTGGCTTATGATGCTGATTAGTAACAAATTATTTACTTTCTGCCTTCCTGTAGGTCATTTCTAAAATCTTTTGGGGATTTCAGTTGAATTCAGGGAATAGCTTACCTGCATCCTGAATTTTTACCATTTTCTGTAGTTTTCTTTTACTTTATAGTTGCATAGGAGGTATACAGTTTTTGTTTTGCTTATTTTTTAGCTTTAAGAAACATATATCTGTAATTAAGTCATATCTCATGTCTCCTTTATGAATGCTTTTCTCATTTAAAGTATTTCTAAGATTTTTTTTTAATGCTGCTTCAGGTAGCAAGAACATAATTTTTATTTCTGTATATTTCATTTTGCAAATATGCCACAATTTACTTCTTTTGTTATTAGTGAACATTTGGATTGCTTCTCATTTGCTGCTGATATGAGTAAGTTCTGTGGAAACTTCTGTATATGGCTGCTGGATAACATAGGGAAGTTTTTCTCTGGGGAAGGAATTGGAGAACTACTGCCCAGCAGTTAAATTCAGCTCACTGCCTGTTTGTGTAAATGAACTTTTATGGCCAAGCTCATTTGTTTACTTTTTGTGTGTGGTTGTCTTGTGACAAAAGGGCAGAGTTTAATTAGTTGTGACAGAGACCATATGGTATGCAAAGCCTGATGGCTTTTCTGTGTGGCCACTGCCTCAAGTGTCTGCCCTGGAGTGGTTTGGTGGTTGCAGCGTATGCACATGGGTAACCTCACACATTCAGGACCAGTTGTCCTCCAGAGTGCTATGCTGGCTGGCTCATACTCCTTCCAACCAAGCACAGAAACAATCCCTGGCTTCTATCTTCTTGCCTTGGTATTGTCAGAATTCTGTCCAAACTTAGGATCTTAGTTTTATTTTTCCTAACTACTAAAGATCTTTTAGATGTCATTTGGACACATTTATAACAACTTTATTCGTATATAATCTAAATACCTAGAATCCAAGCATTGTACATGTCTGGCTGTGCAGTCACCACTGCGGTCACATTCAGGAGGCTTATATTGTCTTTGTTCCACTTGTGGTAAGTCCTACTTCCATCCTAAACCCAGGCAAATACTGATCTGTTTTCATTTTCTATAATTTGCTTCTTGTAAGCATTTCACACAAATGAACTCATGTAATTCATAGTCATTTCTGTTTAGTTTCTTGCATTTTTAAGGTAATTAAAAGTTATAGCACATATAAGAAATTGATTCTTTTTAATCATTAATATTTTTAATCATTTGAATGTGGGAGTTAGTGAGGAGGCCTAGGTAATCTATAGGGCCTTGGGTAGTATTTATCCCTGGCATACAAATATACATTGGCTGCCCATCCCACAATGAGGGATGCTCTCTCAACTTGTACTCATGGGGGAGGGCCTAGGCCCTGCCCTGGATGAAATGACAGACTCTGGAGATCCTCCATGGAGGGCCTCATCCTCCCTGGGATTGGAGTGGAGATTGGGTGGGGGACTGGGGGCCTGTTGAGGAGGGTGGGGGAGGACGGGAAGGAGAGGGAGCTGGGATTGACATGTGAAACAAGCTTGTTTCTAACTTAAATAAAAAAAAAGGAAGAAAGAGAAAAAAAGAAATATAAAGGATACATTTCTATATATCTGTAAAAATATTTTAATCATTAATATTAAACAAAAGATGGCATATTTTGTTTACTATTCATTAGTTGATAGGTATTGAATAGTTTCTAGTTTTCATCTATCATAAATAATGTAGCATTTATGGTATGTTTGTATAAAATAAGTTTTGTTAGTCTTGGGTAAATACTCACTTAGGAGTGAATGGAAAGACTGGAATCATGTAATATATTTGACTCTTTTTTTTAAATTTAAATTTAAATCCCAGCTCCCACTCCCTCCCCTCCTCCCCTGCCCCCCTTAAACCCTTCACCAATCCCCCACTCAATCCGCACTCCATTACTCTGCAGGGAGGGTGAGGCCCTTCATGGATCTCCAAAGTCTGTCATATCATCCAGGGCAGGGCCTAGGCCCTCACCCATGTGTCCAGGGTGAGACAACATCCCTTCATGTGGAATGGGCTCCCAAAATCCATCTGAATGCCAGGGATAAATGCTGATCTATTACCCGAGGCCCCATTTTCAGAGGGTCTGGATCACTCCCATGCTGGCCTCTCAGCTATCAGTCTGGGTTCCATGAGCTCCCCCTTGTTCTGGTCAGCTGTTTCAGTGGGTTTCACCCACCCAGTCTTGACCCCTTTACTCATCACTCCTCCCTCTCTGCCACTGGGTTCCAGGAGTTCAGTTCAGTGTTTAGCTGTGTCTGTCTCTGCTTCCATCAGTCACTGAATGAAGGCTCTAGGATGACATACAAGGAAGTCGTCAATCACATTATGGGGACTGGCACTTAAGGTAGCCTCTCCACTATTGGTTAGATTGCCATTTGGTGTCATCCTTCTAGGTCTCTGGAAATCTCACTAGTGCCAGATCTCTCTTCAAACCTATAATGGCTCTTTTTATTATGGTATCTCTCATCCTGCTCTCTTCTCTTCTTCCCGACTCAACCTTCCTGCTCCCCCATGTCCTCCTCTTCACCCCTTCTTTTTCTTCCAGCTTCTCCTCCCCCTCCCATGTTTCCAATCCCCTCAGGAAATTCTGTCCTGTTCCCCTTCTCTGGGTCACCATGCATATCTCTCTTAGGGTCTATATTTGACTCTTTAAGAATCTGCCAGACTGGTTTCCAACATGACTGTAGCATTCTGCATCCTCACTAGAATGCACAGTGTTTTTTTTTTTCTTTCAATAAATTCCCTCACCAACGCTTATTTATTTATGTATTTATTTATTTTTTGATGCCAGGTTTTGAACCTAGGCTCTCACACATACTAAGTACACAGTCTGCCATACGTGTATGTCAGTGTGCACCAGTGCCTGTTTGTGTTTTACTTTAGCTTCTCTAATGAATGTATGGTTTATTTCTTTGTGACCTTGTTTTGCATTTCTCCAGTGTGTCCATTTTTTGTCTGCTTGTCTCTTTAATTGCAGGGTCTGGCTATATAGCTCAGGCTGGCTTTGAATTTGTGATCATTTTGCTTCCTAGGTATACTGTGATTACAGGTGTACACCATCATGCCT